CCTTTTGCACGGCACGCTTCGAGTGGCAGTCGACTTTGGGCGCCCAAAAGACGCTTAGGGTTCGAATCGCGGCCTCGCTCTTTCTCGTGTCGCCAATAGAAGCTCGAGCTATGAGAAGTAGGTACCCAAAAATTGAGTACTATTTTGTGCCTTGTTTTTAGCGAAATCCACCAAAATTTGAATTGCAAGTGAACGGAACTGTGTACCGACAAAGAAAATGTGGTAGCCCCCGACAAGATCATACTGATGGAGGAGTCAAAACATCAAACTCTAATTCCGAGTTAATGGGACATGGGCAGTGAGCACCGACAAACGGAATGTGGTTACTGCCGGCAAGATCTTAATGATGGTGGAGTCAAAACTTCAAACGGGAATTGCTGGTGCACGGGAATACTGGCTAATAATTAATAAAGCACTGATCTGCCACACAAAAATGCGCTGAAGTCCCTTCGATCTCATACGAGGACTTTTATAATTTTTTATACTAAATTTGGAATACACTCGTATACGTAAAACCCTACCTCAAATTTGCAAAACAAACCGAATGATTACTACTATTATTAATTTGTTGTCTCTATAATTTGCTTAATAAAAAGATGGACGACGTCATAGTTCTATGGCTATTCCTCTAAATGGTGGATGGAGGAGTAGGCTGGTAATCTGTAAAAAAGTTACAAACTTATACTGTATGTATTAAATTCGCGTATTGTGTTTCCCTGTCTACTTTTAAAAGACAAAATCTCTTCTGAAGGACATCCAAAATAACTTTTTTTCACTATTACCCTACGATGACACGATATTAACCTTATAAATATTATGTCAAATTTGGATAGAGTGGCTTAAACAACTTCATAATTTACCTCACATGCGGCTAATACGAGAATTCATATATAATTAAAAAAATTATTTAAGAATGATAGTCCAGGCTAAATAGTTCTAAGATAATTTATTTAAAAAAAAATTAGTTACCGGGCGAAACCGGGTTTTTCAGGCAGGTGAAATGAATAGAAATTGGGAGAAAATAATTAAAACAGCTGAATTTTTCCGCGGGTGAAATCCCGGGGGTTGAAACTGGTGTTTTGCAAATTGTGGCAAAACTATTAATTTTAGACGAAAATGTTAAATGTAAAAGTCATAGAGATTAAAAAAATGAGCAACTTTTGTATCTGCACTATTTTCACTTAACCTCCAATTTTCCTAGAAAAATCGTTTTTTTCGTTTTTTATTCCTATTTTTGCGAAAAAATGTCGTAGGGGTTTGAAATTTGGTCGGAAACATACCTTGTTTTATGATAAAAAAGAAGATAATTTTTTGGGCCCGTAAAGTTGAACCGTTTCCAAGATCTCACGATTTTTGAAAAAATCCACCTTTTTTCCAAGAGGATGAAAAATCTATTCCTCTATTCTATCATATTCCATTTGAAATAAGAATGACAGATATCATAAGAATGCACAACTATCTGTTTCACAAGCTACCCTTACAGTTAAAGTGATCAAGTTATCTACCCACATGGTTAGCAGTTAGTCTCCGATCATCATTCGCGCTTTTAATAAATTGTTGAGGTTATAGTAGTTCGACTTTTAGAAAGATAAAATGGAACTTACGTACAAAAAATGTATACGGTCATTGACAAAGTAATGATTGCCTAATACATACACTCTGCAGCATAAGGAAGCAACATACCTATCACATCAGGTTTCGTTCGGTTTTTCAAGAATTTTTAATTTATTGGTTCGCATTTCCAGTTGCACAACAAATTCAACTGTTGGTTGCGTATGCTGCAGGTTTTAGACATAAATTCAATGGTTTTACCTATTCGGCGATCATTAATTTTGTTAATGACTGTACGTACATACATTCATGCAAGACTGTATTGTAAAACTTACAACATGCATGATTTAAAAAAATGCCAAGAGAAAGAATAACGAGATTAAGCAAAATATGAGAGGTATTTGTCCAATGACTTCAAATATCTTATACTGGATTATTCCCTTGGTCTTTAGCCTCCTCCAAACTTTTGATTTCATGTGACCACTGGAATTCTTTGCACATACCATTCCCAGGTATGGACCTTTCAAAGGAGCCAAAATATAATTTTTCATATGCGCCACGGGCCACAGTTGAAAATCCAAATAAAAAGTATGTTTAAATAAATTAATAACTATCTATTTCTTTTTGGTTTTTACCTATCTTTTGCTTTCGTAAAAATCATTTAAAAAAAAAAACAATAAGTACTTCTGAAAATTGACACGATTTTGCATAAAACATTTATGAGACGTGGACAATAAACCCCCATATTCAGCTTGTAACCAAATTTTCATTTATGCTCTTAATAATTGATGCAATATATGGCTTTCCTGGTGTAATAAGATTGAGAATCGTGGCCATGGAGATAATCTCCGATTTTTAGGATGTAAAGGATGCAAAAATAAAATGCGATCAATTTCATAATTTTATTTAAGAGTATATAATAAACAGTTCTCGTACAATCGAAATTACCTGCAACCGCTACACTTACCACAATTACCTACATCCTTTCGACTTATGCTTCGTACATATTCCAGTAAACCAATTTTACGATCTCCAGATCATCAACCTATAAACAAAAGTAAATTAGAACAAGTTACAGAACATTGTGGCGTTTGGTTAGAAACAAAACTATTTTATGTATTCAGCATCACCAGTGTAATGAACAAACCCTTTATCCTCAACGCAACAAGTTTATTAATGGTAAGGTTCGCCAGAGCCTCGAGTGACCCACCAGTAGTTAAAAAAATCGAGTAACAATTTGATTAATTTGGGATTTTAGACTCGAAAACTAATTTCAGCAAATTCATCAATAGAGCCACACCCTTGAGCTCTTGCGAGTTTGCTCTACTCTAATGCAGGAATTGTAGGTTTGTTCTTTACGCATATGATTACGTCAATTTGTTATTCATATAGAAGTTTATTTGCCAGTATATACTCTATCGCAAAAATAAAAAAACCATGATTGTATGCAAGTTAGTATCACTTAGATCTGAGGTTGAAGTGCATTAGTAAACAACGGTTATTGGTTTTATGTATACCTCATATGCTTCAATTTGAATAATGTATATTATTCTGTATACTGTAATGTTTATGGTAACTTTCTAGCTATTATTGCACAGTGCAATCTTACACCTACTATACTTGCTATACTACATGGTCTTATCCAAGCTGATAGGAATACACTGCATGCTACTGTTAATTCTCACTATTCTTCTATAAGAATATATGAAATTAATTAATGATAGTTATTTTATATGCCACAAGTAACTATTGATGGCAATTTGAGAAAAAGTTTAAATTGCAACATTAGTGTTAGATCGTACCTCAAAGTTTATCCTTTTAAATCATTAAAATATCTATATACAGATTTCTAAATTAATAATGTTGCAGTTATTTTTAGAAGATAAAATAATGATAAAAATGAAATAGTTTTATGAGAGTGGGTAAATTTTTTACCTACCTACAATTTAAATGTGCCAGAGCTAATAAGTAGCATCGTGCAGGTGATTACTCAATCAATTACTTATACGGACTTATCTAATTATATCTATGAAGGTAGGTTACCTCAAGTCCTCTTTCTGCATTTTAATATGTATCGTGCGCTTTCGTCGGGGAAATGTTTGTTCTTACAATTAGTTAAAGTATATATTTTTCTTTCACAATTACTTAACACTAGAACGACTGTTGGGAGCCATTTTTGACCGATTTTGATATTGCGTCTGGCCTCTTTTGTTTCTATTTGTGTGCTACTTTGTGACTTTTATCCATTATAAAGGATAAAGTGGAATCCTATTGGGGTCATTTTTAGTTAGGCGCAGTTATTTTATATTCCAATATTTTAAAATATGTTGCTAAAATTCTGCATCACAAAATAAAAATGGCACTCCTTTTCATTCACGTTTCCACTCAGTGAACAGATGTTTGAAAATGAGTAATTGAGCTTTACCAAGTCAAAGACAGTGGATTTCTCTCGAGGTAGCTTATAATCTACTGCGCAAAATTCCTTTTCTATGTGCAATTTTAATTTTTAATTTCAAATGATTGTCACCCATTTTTCCATTAATTTAAAAAAATATGGTGGTTAAACATTTTGAGCTCCCACCGTTCTAGGAATATTAAATTTGCTATCGTTCTAGTGTTAAGACATGATTATATATCATTCGATTTGTGCCTTGTTGCACAAGGTCCCCTATAAAGAAAGAGTTAAATTGGAGTTCTCCAACATGTGACATTTAAAGATTTGGATATTCATTTGTGGGAAAACCACTTTGAACCCCCAAGGTCCAATTGCTCTTCATTTGTTTCTATTTAAACTGCAAAACAAGATTACACATACGTCCATTGCAAATAGTTTCAGCTGTAATAAGAAAAACTTTAATCAATGTATTTTAATAAATCTTGAAAATATAGAGTTTGATCATAATTACCTTTTCATGTAAAGTAATGTAGGTGAATGACTATTTGATAACGATGTACCTTTAGTGTACATTTCTCAGCATATACATAGTTTAAGTACAGGTTGTATATCTTCAATGTGTAAACTTTCTTCGTTTAGGATTTTCATCAGTTTTCAAAGATAACCTCAACATTACTAGCAGCAGCAATATATCAAAGTTCCTCCATAATTTCTTCACAAATATCTTTATATAATAATAGTCGCCCTTTTATGAGTGTCTGCAATGCTATAGGGGTCTAAGCGCGTCGCTTAATTTAGCCTCAGCTGTAACTGGAACGAATTCCAGGGAGGCAGTGTGGTTAGCACAGCCCTCCTTAGCCGCCAATTATTATCCCAAGATATAAACCCCAGGTATTCAATTTTAGAGGCGGAATGAACCCCACGGACGTAAAAACGCCCAAGATACGTGTTGGAACTGGCAACTGAATCTGAAACCTTATCTTGTACCATGAATGAATAATCTGGTAAATATACACTAGCCGTGTGTAAATTGCATTAAATAATAATTCTGTTGTAAGAATAATTCTTTATTGGTAAAATACATTCACATATATTTTTACTAATCACAATTGCACAACAAATTATAATTTCATGTACCTTCTAAAATTCATTTTTAGTGAGGCGAGTGAAAAGTGAATCAATGCACCTTCGTTTAGCAACATAGTAAGCTATTCGTTCTACGTTTGATGTCTTTGCTGTGACAGTTTTCGCGCATCTTAAATTTGTCTTTGGTTTGACTTTTAAAAGTCATCTCGAACATTTACAAATGGGAATTGGCCGATTCACGAATTTAACAGAGATATTTACGAGTTACACCAACCATTAAAGTTTGGTCGAAATCGGCTCATAATTATGAAAGTTACTGTTTCTTGGAATTGATATATATATAAACCTATAAATATACTGATACCATTACAACAGGTAGACAGAAATCTATTTAAAAAATGGCTACGAGATCAACCCGAAGAATTTTATGCCAATGGTATTTACAAATTAGCAGAAAGAAGGGACATAAGAGTTGCCGGGACTATATTGAAAAGTAACAATAGTTTTGTACTGATTGAATAAACCGTTTTTGAGCAATAATAATTTGTCTCGTTAATTGTTAAATAACCTTTGTATTTAAGGGGTTTTAGAATATAAAGTTTGTACAGAATCACGTTTACGAATTAAGCGACGTTCTAAGGTGTGATGACAGTGTCATTTAAAGAAAAATGATAACATTGTTTAGAAATGACAAACGAGAATAAAGACACATTTAGTCGATAAGCGCTCATACTGCATCTGAAGAGCTGAACACACTATAGTACCTCATAATTGATTCAGATTCCTTTGCACTAAACATCTTGGGACACAGTGTATAATTAGTGATGATTGCATCTTCAGAGAAAATTTTTCCCTAACAATTTATCACATATACTATAAAGGTTGATTGATTGCTCTTATTCATATATTTGCAGGCTTCTTTACTACATTCGACGATTAGTATGGCTACCAATTGTCTGTCTCTGATTCTAGAATATTCTCTTGTAAGTAATTGTGCACTAAATAGTACAGAAGATATAGGTACATACGCATATACATGAGGAGCTCGAGTTGATTTTTTTTCTAATACACTGTTTTAAAAAAACCACCATCCCTTCAAGCTAAACATCCATTATTCTGCGATACTCTTATTAATAGCCTAAAGGTAGGTACTACAGATTAACAAAATCGTGAAGATAATCATGATTGGAACCCAGAAGAGTGACAATGTTCAAAAATTGCACAATCAGTGTGATCTTCGCCCAAAATTAGTGTCGTTTTGAGATGGTGAGCACTTACCATCAGAAATGACAAAAAAATAGATATCAAATCCCGTGACTGCATACATTGACAGAGGCTATACTTACTTAAAGATCATAGCAGAGTGTACAACAATAGAAATGTTCAATCGTATGCAATGCTAAACCGTTATTAGGAGTATTTTATCTTATTTTTTTGTGACGTGTGGTTTTTATTGTAGAATTTAACTATTTGGTGAACTCGAAAACGATTTAGCTATGGAATACTTTGTGGATGAATTCCGGGATTTATTGTTTTCTCACATATAAATAGTGGTGTAACCATAGCGTTTTGCAGTAGTTTTTTCTAACTGCACTGGAAGATGTACCTAGATGCTGTAATAGCAAAACTACATTTTATCAAACTGTACATAAAATTAGACTTTTGTAATGAATTGTTATTACTTACTTATAATATTTGTATTTATTAGCTTTTAGTACCATTACACACTTCTATTAATAGATATAAGTGTGACATTGTAGCTTGCTCTGGTAATGCATGTATAAAATAGTGCTTTCAGGTAGAAATGTTATTCCTTGAACATTGAAGGGCATATTGATAAAATGCCACGGTTTACCAGCACTAATGCTATAATATATTGATTCCAAGCATTTCTATACTTGTTTTTGCATCAATTCTACAGCTTCAATAGCTGGAAGGGATTTCAACCTTTAGACGGCTTTTACGATTTGTGCAATAAAAATTCAAGATTCATTTCCTTACGAGTTATTGTATATTAAAACTTAGAAAGATACAATAATACATCTATTTTTTTAAATTATATGTAACTAGTATTAATCATAGAAAATTTCTACAAATGAAATTATTTGTCACTACTGCTTTATTTCTTATATCATACTGTGTGAGATACATTTTCACTAAGTTTAAAAATTACCTACTTGGACATAATATTCAGTTAGATATACAAAAATAATCCAAAAATCAACCTGTACCAATCTGTTGTTTATGATGATAGTACAATAGATGTCAAATAAAGAGCCATGCAATTCTGAACGAAACAAATCAACACATTGTTGTGAAAAATAAAAGAATTTTAATTTCGTTAAAATTGTTTAATATTACTAATTGACAAACACATTTTTTTTTGTTGAACTTCTGGCTGATTTGTGTTGTCGAGATTAGTAAAGGTACTGCACTAGTACAAACACAAAAATTATTTTAAGGGACAATAAAGCCCGACGAATACTATTTTTAATGACGTAGAAGTTATGAAAAGATGAATTTCCTCTTTTTCTTAAATTGGGCTTGTTAGTCTAAAACACCATATTGAATTAGTTTCCAACGATTTATGAATGCTGCCTGCCTATAAGTGAATTTGAGATTAAAAATCAAACAAATATTAAAGTTGTGTCAAAGTACTTATATTTATTTTCACATTGATTCTTCTAAATTGCTGACATAAATTAACATACATCGGCCAATAGTATGAGAACTTGGTGTGTCACATTTATTTTGTATTATGAAAATAAATACGTTTCGTCCCTTTTATAAGGGTAGAGTTGATTGACGTAATGAAGTTTACAACACCTACATTACACAATACAATAAATAACCTAACCAATGGGTCTTTGAATAAAATTACAGCCAAAACATCAGCATAATCAGCAAGGAAGTTTACAGACCAACACACTTTCTTTGTCAGCAAAAATGAGTAATACTGAATAATTTGTCAACTATTTCGCAGTTCATAATAAACACAATCATTTTTTACTTTTTGTGCACTCCCTTAATATTCTTTTGTATGTTTAATAAATGATGCAAAAGTAAAAAAAACTAGATATGGTTCAATGCCTCGGTCTGGACTTACCAAAATCCTTTCCATAGCCACCAGGTCCACCACCACCACTACCACCGTAACCCCCCTGGGACTCTGTAACGAGAAAATAAAAGTGGGGTTAAGGGTTTAAATTGGGCTTCTGTAAAAAGAAAAGAAAGCATTAATAAAAGTATCGTTAGCAGGTACTAATCGAAAGTGGAATTGCAAATTCATTTTTAATACAAACCAAATATTTGAAGCAACCATAATAATTAATATGCATTATTAATCAAAATGTTTCATATGTAGATAAACTAAAGCAAAAAATATTTAAATATTAATAAATAACAAAATCATCTCTTAATCTCATATGGGTTGCTACTATGGGGATCAGAAGCACTTTCGTAGTCTTTTAGTTGCCCAAAAACGTTCCACCTTCCCAGTATACTTCAAAGTGCAAAAGGAGCTTCCACAAGCAAAATGTATAGGTATTTATGAAAAAGATGAAAATGCTGGAGTAAGATATTCATATTTCTCATGGTAGTACAATTCATTCTTACAATATTGTTTTTGCAAGTGTTACTAAGTAATATCACCTGATCATCTCTCTTGATTTCTTTAGCGCTAATTATCTAATTTTTTTCATGGTTTAGATTTTTTTTTGTTAGTAAAATATACATAAATAAGTTCTTAAAAATAGAAGACTATCACAGTTATTTTAGTTACTGAAGAATCATCAGTTGATCGATATTTATTATTGACATGCGATTGATATTGTTTCTTTTCTGCTTGGCCGAATAAATAATGGTTATTAAAAGTATCAATAAGTTCTTTAATCAAGATAGGAAAATTGAGAACTTACCAAATCCACCAGATTGATATCCTCCTCTGTCATCATATCCGCCACCGCTTCCTGACTGCCCACCATATCCTCCACTACTGTATCCACCACCGCCGCCGCCATACCCTTGTGTGTTTGAGTTCATACCGCCGTACGAACTTGAATAGCCATCATTTGAAGGACCTCCGCTGCTATATCCGCCCGACTGGCCATAGGACACTCTGTCATTTCCAGATTGATAGCCGCCACCATATCCTCCTCCTGAACCATCATATTGATTACTGTTACCGTAATTTGAATAACCACCCCCACTACCACCACTATTGCCATAGTTAGGTTGATTGTACTGACCATATGACGCAGACTGTCCAAATCCACCTCCACCACCACCAAATGACTGTGATCGACTACATAAAAATCAAGTCAATAATTGTAATACATTACATGTAGGCAGACTTACTCGTTTTGGCCAAATCCATTTGAGCCATTATCAAATCTAGGTCTTTTACCGCCCATTGGCCCGCCCAAGCTGGGAGGTCCGCCGGGTCGTTTATCACCACCTTGGCCACCACCAAATCTGCCAAAACCACCACCTCTTGAACCTCTATCTCCACCACGTCCACGATCACCAAATCTCATTCCCCTATCGCCGGGACGACCACCTCTGTCACCACCACGGCCTCCTCTCATCCCACGTCCTCCCATCGGGCCTCCTCTACCCATACCGCCACCTCCTGGGCGTCCTCTATAACCGCCCCTGCCGAGATTACCGCCAAGACCACCACTCTGATCATTGTCTTGGTTAGCATCTGGGACATCACCTCCACCACCACCCATGCCTCCGCCTAATAATAAATTACTTAGTAGATGAAATGCAAATGAACACCTGTATGTTACACACCCGAAAACCGTCCGGGACCTCCGCGCGGTGCCCCTCTTGGACCGCCGCGTGGTGCTCCTCTAGGTCCACCTCTAAAACCGCCACGACCTCTCATCATTCCACGCCCGCCAGGGGGACCTCCCATACCGCCTCTGCAAAGTTAGATATTTGTACATAGTACGAATATTCTTCAACCATCACAATCTATGATAATGATAGATTTGAAGTGCCTCTTATTAAAAGAAATTAGATTTGGCAATTAAGAAAGAACTAAGCTATGATTTACCTGATGTGTACCAACTGTGAAAACATTAGTGTAAGATCCGACATAAGGCCATCTTCGCCCATCTGTTTACCAAGTGAAATACATTTTTTATCAATCTGATATGTAAACAAACACATTGCAAATGGGTTGCCTAAAAAATTAAGTGCAGAGTACCCTAAATTAAAATGAATGTAAATACTATTTCTGTCTGCTTCTACCACATGGAGAGAGCGCACTCTCTCACATCGATGCGTACACCACGATCAGCTGTCACATTACTATAAGTAGCGTGCGAGAGAGAAACATGTGTATCGTTCGCGAGGGACTCGGGGAGTGCGCATGCGCGCCCTCCATGTGATAAATATATTTCACTCGGTAAAACAGATGAGCGAAGGTTGACCTTATGTGGGATCTTGTACTACACGTGCATGGTGCTCTTTTGGCCATATCTCTGCGTGGGAAACAAATATCAAAATGCAGTTTTCACTGATATTTTCACTTTTTCATCTTATTTGAGAATAGATAATAATTATATCGTTCCAATTGAAATGTTTAAGAAAACCTGCAAAGTATATATTAATGTCAAACCGCGCCTATCACTCATCACATTTACTAAAAATACTCTATTCATGTAAAATCTGATTACACGAAGGGAGCTCTTTCAAATAAGACCAATTATGTAAAAATTGGTTCAGTTAAATCGCAGTTACATTCAATTCCAAAAAGAGATGTTCCCTTTCTCCACCCCTCAGATTTTATGAGAGAGCAATATGTGCTGTATTAAAAGAATGCAAAATTCATATAAGATTTGTTTGCATGTTTGGTATATTTCTCGGTAGGTATATTAAACAAAAATCATTTTTCTACTTAACCACGAATCTTACGCCCTCTAATGGCAAACCTAGATACTTGAAAATAATTTCCAGAGATTTCTCTTAGTCTCTCTTGTCAACAAAATCTTTTTCCCTCACGTTGTGGTTCCATAGATATGGCCTGTAACCTTTACGAGGACATTTTTTAATTGGACACCCTGTACATTTTGTGCAATTATAGTTCTAAGGTAATCTTCAAAATGGTGATTTTGCTAATTTTAGTGCAAAAAGTAAAATCAGATGCTTAATGTGAACAAAGGGCACGATCCAGGCTCAAAATAAGTGTGCTACTGCTGAACCTACAAAAAACATCGATAATCTAAAGCAGAATTTCCAATTATTGGTTATAAGCGTTTTTGAAATCTGAATAAGGGAATTATTTCCAGTAAGGGTCTGTTAATAAGTCCAATACCTAAATGAAGTATAAAGAATCTCTTAAAACTAATTTGCAAATCAACCACACTGTAAATATTAAAAAAAATGTATTCCATGTATAAGCAAGACAATATTTCTTACAAATCGTGTCACAATACATAAGCCTAGTAATTCAAAGGAATTTAATTTAATTTTTTATCGGAATGAAATGCAGTTGTTGCAACTGTTTTTTCAATTTCATTTATCCCTAATATTATAGTATTTAAGTTGGTGACAGCGTAGGAAACGGCCGCAACACTTTGACAGTTCGAAATTTCATTTATTAATGCGTGGCACTTTTCCAAAGCAGCAATCTTTTCAACTTCCAGCTCTTGACAATCAAGCATGGGCTCCGGACTATGTCTCATACTAATATTATGTTCATATCCGTCTTCATACTCTGAATTACTGTTTTCATCATTAAAAGTTTCGACAAGTTGAACCTCATTTTCATGTGGCAATGCGTCAAAATACTTGAGACACACAAGGTGTTGATGTACGCACATGTTATACTGCACATTGTAGTCATTGCAGGTGCAAGATAGCATGTGTAAACATTTATTGCACTCGGCACAAAGGAACGCACATTTGCACTGTTCTTGTTCAACCAGCACAGCCACATGGTAATTTTCAAGTAACATGCCGTCTTTTCTCCAGCAAGCAATTGAAAAGGTAGTATCACTTTCTCTTTGTATATCAACCTGATTTAAAAATGTACAAGCTACTTGGTGTCTTTTTCTGATAAGCTGTAATGTGTGAGGAACTTTATTATGCAATATAAGCCCTTTTAAAAACTTCTGTCTTAAGCATTGCAATACATTTTGTATACTATTGTCCAGTGATTGTTGGCGTTTCTCGCCTAAAGATGCATTGTGTTTTAACTCCCGATACCACTTTCCTAACGCCATGCTTGTATTTTTGTGAAACTGTTTTCTAAGACAATTTGCCCACTGTTCTGTTCTGTTTGAGTAATACTTAGAAAAGTATCCACCAAACTTTTCCGTATCAGGATCTTCTAAAAGACTCTCAATAAATATAGGCAATATTTTCTGAAACTTGCCGGCATCCACCTCATTAATAAGTGATTGCAACGAGCTTTTAACATATTTTTTCTTCTCTGCAGAAGATATCTTCGATAAACTTTCAAACAATTTCTTTTTAACGTGCCAATCACACATAAGTTTATTAGGACGATGACCAAATACACTTGTAAATGCACTGTAAAATGTGTTTGTATCGTCAGACATAAAAGACTTAGGTGCAATATTAGGTACCCTTTTTTTAATGGCGGTAAAAAAATGTTTGAAAATAACTTCGGTTTGCATAATTGACCAAAGGAATGCGACAGGAAAGCCTTCAGAGTTTTCGTCGATTACCATAAGAGTGGTTAGCTGTACTTTATAAGGGTTACCGGCATGTGTTGAATCTATCATGAGAATATCACCTCCATATATATTTAATAATTCACTTTGAGCCGGATTCATAAAGACTAAGAAAAAATTGTTCGTTCCGATATCTTCGTCTTCAACACCATATGGCTTGTACGAAAGAATTGGATTTCCTGCAGAATCTTGAACTAAAGGCTTCAACTTACTAATAAGAGAATCAACACTTGAGGCATCATCATAATCAAAGATGTTATTTAGTGGTATTTTCAAAGATTGTTTTATATTGTGAATGTCGCGATTTGTGGTATATGAAATTCTCTTTGTTGGATCAAATTCCTTTCCGATTTCTCTTAATATATGTTTCGGCGATATACCCTGAATTAATTTGGCAGCAATTGCCTCTCTCTCAGGATTTGGAATGCGTAGTCTATCAATGTCTTGAGCATGACCAACATGCGTCCCAAAGAAACTAACTTTCACTTTTCCCTTCTTTTCCGTGTAAATAATTCTGGCAGGACAGTTCGAGTTGATTTTGTTAGATCCTTTAACCTAAAACAAAGATTCATTAACTGAAGTATTCTTATGAGGTATGTAAATAACTTATGGTCATGCAGTCACTGCACTAACTCATTTGTAGTAGATCTAATCACTATTCTATACAGGGTGTCTCATCTAAAATTTGCACTTTTGCAATAAATCGCTGTATAGAAAAAAAAATGTTTAAATATGTTAAATTTTTATCAAAGGGGAACCACATTTATCCTGATTTTCAAGTCATTCATCATTTCATTCTCTTAGGTGGGTTTTGCAGCATCATAACAATTGTTAAATCCGATTAAAAAATGATGCATATGGCCACTCACACAGAAATGAAAATTTTAGTTAGGACACCTTAAATTAATGAGTAATTTCAATATGACACTTACCTTTGGTGCCCTCTGCCTAGGATCCTCTTTGTACTTAGAAATTTTCCCACTTCTATGGCAAATATATTTTGTAATCCTCAACGATTTTTTCTTTTTAACACAGGAACTCATGACCCGGTAATTCGCCAAGGTCTCAGATTCAATTTTATCTTTCCATTCCTGAAATTCTTGCGGGCCATTGAAAATTAGCTGTTCCTCCACTATCTTGATAGAGTGTGTACTTTGAATATGCTGATCAAGATCATGGTATGTAACACATAAATCAGAGCATAAAGGACAAGCCAATGTCTTCTTTCTTTCTCCCAGTGAAGAATTATGCACATTACGGGCGTGTCTACTTAAATTGCATTGTTTATTAAAGGTGGTTCCACACACGGGGCACATAAAGATGTATCTGCAAAACAAAAAAACATTATTTTACAAAACGAATAAGTAAAAAAAATAGAATGCACTTTGTTATCTCACTGGCTATTATTTAAGCACCTACTGATTAAAACAACATTCTCAAGAGTTTGTATCCGAAAATTATATTGCAAAATTATTTAAGCCAAACCAAATTTTTTCGATTTCAATAAGCCCTGGATAATAAAGCCAGAATATAACAAAGTATTTATTTGAAAAATATAGAACGATAATTTAAACAAAAAATAAAATATAACAACTTACACTTTTATGCAGATATAAATCAGATTTTTGGATTCCCAGATTTTGTAAAATTTCGCAAAATCCATACATAGATTTTTTACGAAAATAGTGCTTCACCACAGTCGCTTCTCAAGTGTGCAAAGATCCATATAATTTTACAGAACTGACAATTTTCATGCAATCAGCTCATTGAAGGAAAATTTGTAATCACTTTTTAATTATTTACACTAATCACTACCTACCTTTTAAAACGTCACAAAATATTCACCGTCCACAAGTAATAAACACTATTAATTGATAACCTCAATAGCTTCTATGATCGCGAATTTGGTACAGTATAGCAAAATAAGCGCCGACCTTTCACAAATTCGATCTCCTATCTATATGAATACATTTGTTTCCATAGAAATTAACTGTAAGATAGAGTTGACTGTATCATGAAAATTCAGTGTCGCTGTATACTCAATTTCAATAGAGTACCTGAAAATGGAACTGGAGTTGATATAGCACAATTCAGCGCACAATTCTTTACCTAGAGGCTTTTCACAATAACAAATAAAAGGATATAACCACAACCCAATTTTTTTTTGAATTTCGTTTTTGGAGATAATGGAGATAAAAAAAGTAGCGTTTAAATATTTACTTTGGCTGTTCGGTCGGTCGGTTGCAAAGGTTTTTTAAGTATAACTCCAGAAGGAATCATCGTAGAATGGTCGGGTTTGAAGCATTAGCTTTGTGTCACAATTCTTTGCAGGCAGATTATATATATTCCGATTAGTTCCAAAGATATGCCAAAACAACCGAAATCTGCCATTCTTGTTTTTTTTTTGGAACAAATATAGAAAAGTTAAAAACACCTCCTTATTAAATCATTAACTTTATTTTTTTATATGACTTGTAAAAAAAGTAGGTACATACTGTGTTAGGTATCATTTTTTATTACGAATACGATGATGTACGGCACAAAAAAAAACAAAAGCTAGAAACTCAGTTGGTTTCAGCAGCATGATGCTCCCGCGCACGCCGCTATAATCGTGTGGGAATACAAATTTTTTTCATCTTCCAAGACATTTTTCTTTTGCGGGCCATATAAAAAATAACCTCGATGATAATTTCTCCGAAACAAAAGGTTATATTGCAAATCTCTAAGTAGCAATAAGAAAGTGTTTTTCATTTTTTTGTATCTGTTCAAATAACATTTGGAAACATAAAAACGAAATAGGTAAATTTCGCTTCTTCTGGCATATCTTCGAAAGTAATAGGAGTTTTCAGGTTTTCTTTTTAACTCTTTAATTGCGCAAATTTTCGGTACTCCCCATGATAGACAGCCTTACATTGGACACAGTTCAAAGTCCTTCAATCTTGAGTACCTATATCAGCCATGAATTGAGCAAAAATTCACTTGATAGGTTATCAATTTAAAATTATATCATTATCACTGTATCTAACTTACTGGTTACTTACTTTAATTATAGAGTTATTTTAGAATGCCCGCCAAAGCAATTACAGTTTTAAAGAGATCGAGACATATCAACGAAAAGCATGTTAGTAATAAAATATTTAACTTATAAGTTGCTAAATAAAAACGCCATTCCTTTGATGAACAAAACGAAGAAACTAATACTTTAACAGTAAGTTAGCTACATGTGTATTACAAATATCAGTGAATTAATTTCTTAGAATTTGATGAAGATCAACATCAATAATGAAACTGCTAACGCAAGAAGATAAGGAAACTATATGTATGTGATGAAACGTCAGTAAGTCAACCATCAACATGAATCGAAATGTTTCCCACCCATCTTCACCATCCACGTGATACGTGCTGAAAAGTTCTCCAAGGATCAAGGCGATAGATACATCTAATGTAGCAGTCTTAAAACTAAAATTCAATAGTGCCCAACTTCAAAATCACAGATTAACATTGAAAGTATCAGAATTACAGAAAGAAAACCATTATTTAGCCTTGAGTCGAGTGATCAAGGCAATTGTGAAGATGACAATGATTATTTTCCTTTAGAGAATGATTTTGCAATGTCTGTAATTGTTAGTGCTATCAAGAAAGTAATATAGGCGTCATGTGCTCTTGTTGGGTCAAACAAAAATTGCCAGAATTACCCTATTTTATTTTACCTTAGTTGACAGAGATACAGAAAAATGTTTCCTTAAAATTATCGTTTTCAAAATAAATAAGGGGGTTAAGTAAAACGTTATTACATCTAACCTCATTTTTTTTAATGGAACACACTGTACATTTTTATCTAAAAATAGGATTAAATTTTCGTTTTAAAATATAGCACACAAAAATTCAAACATCTTTTTAAAATATTTTTTTAAACATCTCTTGTTATATTTTTGAAAAGAGAATTTAATATGTAATATTTGTAGGTTAAAATATACAGGATCTTTCATTTACAAAAATGAGGATAGGCTTGATAACTTGAAAGTGGTAGATAATTCAATAATCATACACTTTTCTGCTTCTTTTAAATAAGAAAATATAAGGTCGTTCTAAAATAGACAATTTTTGGTATCCCCCCCCCCCCCAATCTGTTAAGGCGAGCAATTACTTTAAAATTTTGATTTTACCATTTTAAATATGACCCAAAGAGTACATACGCCTATATTACTTTTTTTAATAGTACTGACGATTACAGAGATCCCCTAGTGTCAAAAATTAGAAACCCTGCACAGAACGAATTTTTTTTTATATGATTATAAGACCAAGCTATAGTTGTAGAAGATTTATTATTAGAATTAGAACACAAAAATTGAAGAATGTACAACAGAAAGAAAGTGAGACATATATAAAAGAAGTTGGTATTATAGAAAAAAATTGTGCCCTAATTTTATATTTTTCTAGTTAAACGGTTTGACATTATTACATTATTTATATGTGAAAACTATAATGACAACTGATCACTGGCACTGGCTTACTCGTCCGCCCCTGATTTTTATGTATTCTCTGTATTTGACTCAGTATTTGGAGGACCTTCGCCGCTACAAAAAAAGAGACATTGTAAGTCTGCAAAAATTAATAAAAAACTTTCAAAGGCAAATCGCATGTGAATCCCTCGTAACGAACTATCTTATGCGACCACCCATAAGGAGAACGTTAAGTTTCAGCGACACACTTGCGTCAGTAAAGTCAAAATCTGAAATGCAAATCACAAGAACAGATTGATGGAAAGTAGTAGTCGACACAGTTTGCAATATATTTTCATTTTTAATTAAAAATTCGCTCTTATTACGATAAAAAATTCGTTTATTAATGATAGAAGTGTTCCATTGTACTAATTCATTTGATTTTTTATTATACCATGCATTTGATATACACTGTGTCCAAGATAAGGATGTCTATTATGGTGATCTCAGAAACCATAGAAGATGATCAAATTACAGAAAAGATGGGCAAGTAAAGACTTAATATCACGTTTTAAAGAAAACTAGAAAATTCCGATTATGCCCCATAACATGAATAAACACAATATTTTTATTTAAAAAATCAAAAACTAAAAATGTATGAATCAGTCTAAGTTTAAAAAAATAAAACCACTTCCATTCTCTGATCGTCATTAGAATTGAAACATTTCATGCTACTGTGTTTCCTTCGCATATTTTTCCCACATGCTATACAAATTAATTTTGTTCTGATATTGTTAAGCTTGTCACAAATATAGCAAATACAGGGTCTTGTTTCATTTCTAGAAATATCATCATTGTGGGGATATTTTCGCAGGAACAACTGAATATCTTCGGGGTTGGAGACTGATCAACGAATATTAACAGCAACACCATTGCAAAAGTTAAATTAGCACGCCCATCGAAGGGTTAATCAAATAGGTAGCCCACATCAGGCACTCGAACTAAAATATAGTTCACTTGATATCACCATCCAACTTGAGTTATTTTATTTACAAATATATCTCTTTTATTTACATCATTATCTGTCAGTTTGGGTTTTTTCAATACTATTATGAAATGTGATTATAAAGTTTTAAAAAACCCTTTTACAAAGAAACAATACAGATAAAAATATCAATTCTTCAAGTTTCATATGTATGTAATAGGGCAAAAGAGTTTTGTATTATTACGGCAACTTCCTTATAGCTTATAGCCATAAAGTTGTAGTATTGAGTAATTGCTTCACTCAACGGTTGTAGGCTATAGGTACAACTTGCACAATCTACTAAATACCTCACCAACATATGACAGGTAAATCAAAGCAACAAACTTTTCCCGAAGAACACGGAAAATTCCATTTCGAGGCAACTATCTACTCACAAAATTTACGAGTAGTACAAGATAATATAACAAAAAGACAGCAGATAATTTTGGTGTTACTTACCTTCCTCTCATCATTCCCATTCCTCTTCCCCCTCGTGGACCACCCCGTCCCATAGGGCCACCGCGTGGTCCGGGCGAGCCTCGTGAGAAGCCTCGAATACCGCCCCTGCCCATCGGCCCGTTCGGTGGCTTCGCAGTCTCAGCATTAGTTTCGCTTTCAATTTGTTGTTCTGGTTCTTCTGACATTTTGTATACCTATAAGCAGAAACGTTTACACAGTCAATATATTGAGTTTTATTGTTGCATGAAAGGGACGCCACGCGTGCGTGGTCAACAAAAACGGAATCTGATAAAAGTACGACTAGTTTGCGGTCGAAATAATGCGTAAAAATGTAACTTAAAAGCTTACCTTCGATATTTAAGTGCACGATGTGGAGACACTTGCAATTTAATGTTGAAAACGTGAAACGATGAATCTAACGTAAACGCTATACAAAATGGAAGAATGCCGGATCAGCGCGGCGTCACTTTTGCTACGAAATTAAACGAATACCGTCGAATGTATCCGACGCGATCACACTACCAATATATTAAAGGAAAAGTTACTGCCTCGTTAAGTTTTATGTTATACAGGATGAATCACATTAATCGACATCGATAACAAGTAAAGAACTTTGTTTATTATTAATTTATCGTTATTTAGTACGTTTGGTAAAGCCCAGGGAGCGTGTGTTCCAAACCCTATCATACAATTTACCATAGAAAAATAGTCTAAGCAATTTACTGACTGAGGGCGTAAGTAAAATGGAATACATTTTTCAGATATGGTTTATTGGATGCCATATCGTCACAATAAAAAATTTGAGCGTTCATAAGGCCGTCAACTTTTTAAAATAACTCTTCTTAAGACTCTTTTAAGAAAGTTTTATAAAAAAATAATTAAAAATAATCTCTATTTATTTTTAAAACCATATAGTCTGCCCAGATTCAGATATCAGGTGTATCCCACACAGTATTTCCATTAGACCTCCGTATTTGATCCATTTTAGGTTACGACGTCCATGTAGTAAAAGTGCACGTACAGGGGACGTGCCATGATTCCCTCTTATCGAATATTTCAATCCGTAGACACACTGGTATGTATCACTTCAGTGACATTTTCTAACTAACTCCGGATTTTGGTTGAGAGTTTTATAAAAATGATCACAACTCTTCATGTTACATTGTGCAAACCGTAAGGCGCGTGAGGTATAGATTTTAGGGGCAGTTTTTTCACCTGTCCATAATGTATTCATTAACGAGAATACTCTTTCGGTAGAGGCATTTGTTACAGGTAAGCCAAGAAAGTTTTGAACGAATATCATGATCTCTAAATTTCTCAAAAACTCTAACCATCGTTTTTCCATACTTGACAGTTAGGCAACTTAACTAGCACTTTTTAATCAAACTAATATCCAGGGCTATCGAAAAAGATGGACTTCGTTTTAAACTTTAAAGTAAGGCTGTAATAAAGATTTAAAAGTTTAATTTCTTTTTTCCCTGTATATACAACATAATGCACACATTTTTGAGAAATGGCAACTACGTAATTTTAGAAGGGTAAAGCGGTCTGCGCGGTTTAACCATCGCGATACTGTTCTGTGGATATAATAAATGGACTGCGAGTGTTAATGATAAGCGCGGATACTGGTGATAGAGAACGAAAAACTAAAGGCGGGTTTAGGCTCGTACGCAGAACGGCGCTGCTGCAGAAAGTCGCAGCCGCAGGTAGTTCGATACCATGTTGATATACGGCCTTGTTTATGCTTGAACGCACAAATACAAAACGTAGGTTGCCGCAAATATGCTTGTCTGTAGGAGACGCAGAAGTTCGCAGAATTTAAACTTTGTACGCAGTTGTTTGTAGTCGGGCGTACAGCTCTTCTTGATCCTTTGTCACCATTACTTGAAAAAGATTTAGAAACCTTCAAAATTTTCTCCTATATTTGTTAACAGGTCTTACTGCCCACCGTCGTACCCTCCTTTGAGTATGCAAGAGCCCCAACTCTTTACTTAACGCCGTTAGTAACAGTATTTTCTTTAATTTAATTCTCTTCTTGTCTGCCATTCCAGAAATTAATCAAAAATCTGTTTTTAGCGCATTTTTGCAAAAAAATTTTTTTGTAAAAAGTAGCTTTTAATCTCACTTTGGCTGGCTGGCTGGCTGGCAGCAAATGTGGGCGCGTAGAAGAACTCTTGTAGAAAGGCAACGGGTGTACGTGTATCTACAGGGCCGTGAATTTTGTCAACCTTAGGGACATGGCTACATGATGTGGGGTTGGCGACATCTGGGCGTCATCCTCGAGCGTAGTATACTAACGTGAAAGTTTTTCAGTTTTTTCCTATCTTCTACTACAGTTTTGGTCCGATTCTTTTCAAATTGGTGTCGTCGGAAAGATGTTGTAAACGCGCACAACTCCTGCGTGGCGGAATTTTGTTTTTTGTCATAGGGGCGAAATTAACGACCTTTTGCGAGGCGCGCGCGCGCGCGTCTTCGAGAAGTAGTCAGGCGCCTTTTACCTTCCGTTGCGAACTCACGCGGTTTAACGTTTCGTGAATCTCGAATCGCTGTCTCTCTTTCTCGTGTCGCCAATAGAAGTGAATTGCGAGTGAACGGGACGTCGGAAGTGGGTACCGTAAAAGAGAATGTGTTAGCCCGCGACACGATCTCAGTGATGATGGAGTCAAATCTTCAAACGCGAATTGCGAGTGAACGGGACGTCGGAAGGGGGTACCGTCAACGGGAATGTGGTAGCCCCCGACACGATCTTCCTGATGGTGGAGTCAAATCTTCAAACGCGAATTGCGGGTGAACGGGACGTCGGAAGTGGGTACCGTAAAAAGGAATGTGGTAGCCCGCGACACGATCTCACTGATGGTGGAGTCAAATCTTCAATCGCGAATTGCGGGTGAACGGGACGTCGGAAGGAGGTACCGTCAAAGGGAATGTGGTAGCCCCCGACACGATCTTCCTGATAGTGGAGTCAAATCTTCAAACGCGAATTGCGGGTGAACGGGACGTCGGAAGTGGGTACCGTAAAAGGGAATGTGGTAGCCCGCGACACGATCTCACTGATGGTGGAGTCAAATCTTCAAACGCGAATTGCTGGTGAACGGGACGTCGGAAGGGGTACCGTCAAAGGGAATGTGGTAGCCCCCGACACGATCTTCCTGATGGTGGAGTCAAATCTTCAAACGCGAATTGCGGGTGAACGGGACGTCGGAAGTGGGTACCGTAAAAGGGAATGTGGTAGCCCGCGACACGATCTCACTAATGGTGGAGTCAAATCTTCAAACGCGAATTGCTGATGAACGGGACGTCGGAAGGAGGTACCGTCAAAGGGAATGTGGTAGCCCCCGACACGATCTTCCTGATGGTGGAGTCAAATCTTCAAACGCGAATTGCGGGTGAACGGGGCATCGGAAGTGGGTACCGTAAAAGGGAATGTGGTAGCCCGCGACACGATCTCACTGATGGTGGTGTCAAATCTTCAATCGCGAATTGCGGGCGAACGGGACGTCGGAAGGGGGTAACGTCAAAGGAAATGTGGTAGCCCCCGACACGATCTTCCTGATGGTGGAGTCAAATCTTCAAACGCGAATTGCGGGTGAACCGAACGTCGGAAGTGGGTACCGTCAAAGGGAATGTGGTAGCCCCCGACACGATCTTCCTGATGGTGGAGTCAAATCTTTAAAAGCGAATTGCGGGTGCACGAGGAAAGTGGGAAGCGGTTAGTGAATGTAGTAGCCTTCGACAAGATCTGTTATTGATGGTTGAATCGAAAGTGGCTAATAGAATACTGATCTGCCACACAAAAATGCGCTGAAGTCCCTTCGATCTCAAACGAGGACTTTGATAATTTTTTCTATTCACTTAACCAACCACGTTATTTAACGACCAAAAGAGGTTAGGTTTTAAATGTCAATTTCGACACTTGAACACTGAGAACAACTGCGTACCAACATAAACAGATAGATCACTAGTACACACGGGGGCGTACTTCTGCAGCTGAAATTTCCACTCACTTCTGCAACGTGTGCATTCTGCGTACGAGCCTAAACCCGCCTTAAGAGGGCAAGCTGTCTCTTACGGTTACACATCTGATTGGTTCTTTCAATTTAATTTGAATGCGATCGATTCCCTTCTCTCTTACCTGCAGTATCCGTGGCCCGTGCTTAGCATTGGCACGCACAGTCCTTTTATTATATGTCGATGGGTTTCACTAGAGCACCAAAGCTACCACCAACGGCATCTTTGTTTTAACCTTCGTCACAAACACGTAGTCCAGTTTAAGTTTGTTGATATTTTTGCGTTATTTAATGTGGGTTCTTTCTTCTTTGTTCTATATGATTTATTCGTATTTCGTATACAACATTTTATATTTGTTTATAATTTTCAAATTTTGTTTTTGAATTTGACATGTTAACCTCAACGTATCACGTGTATGGGAAATACCGCGTTAACTCTTATTGTTTTCAAATCTGTTTCATGTTTAATGTAAATGGTGTTTAATTTATGTTTATGTTTTGACTACATGGTCTTGACCAGAAGTAATGTTTATATACATTTTGATCATTCTTTTAAATATGTGAAATTTATCGAATTGTTTGATGTGTGTACTGACTTGTTGTTTGTAAACTAACATTTTCTCCGTAAATGCAAATAACTAACCACATTAGTTACAGCACCTAATGCCGGAACTGTCCTTGACTATCAACTGTAACCTTGAATTCCCTGGGCGAAGGGCAAGTTACCAATCTCGGGGGAGAGATTATGCTAACAAAAACTCTTCGGTTTAGAGTTTATGTGCGATATGAGTTGCAATTCACTGATTTCCACACGTTTTGTCTTTAGATTAATTTGACCAGCAAGGCCATGTAATTTTTCCACCTTACTTTGTTACATGCTTGTACCCCAGCCAGTTTTTTGCTTTGAAACTTGCTTTTAACCTATTTTAGATGTTTGATCACGTGCCACTTTTCGATTACAAATATAAGCGGGATCTGTTTAGTTTTGAAAGAAATAGCCATTCTGTTGGTCATTTTTAAACGTTGCCACACTACAAAACGTACGAACTTTGTCCATTCCTTTTTGTTCATTGCTAATCTAAGTATAGACCAATGCTTCTGTCCGGAAGTCAGACCTGGAAATTGACTATCGTACTGAAAAGCAAGATGCAGGTTATAGAAATGAATAATATTAGAAGCGTAAAAAAATAAGTGGCAGAGAACGAAATGACATCGTAAAAGCGGAATTTTGAATGAATGTAATTGTTCAAAAATCAACACTTAAGATGGTTCAGACATATGAATAGGATGAAAGATGATATGCCGTAGAAGCGAAATAATAAGCGAAAAAACATCTGAGGAGATCTTTTGAGGTAGACCTAGAAAAATGTGGAATGTGACAGATGTTTTTGAGGGACGGTGTTAGGTCACCGACGCTCCCTGCACAACTTACACCCGAACTGGCGAAAAAAAACGTTGTAAATTGACCAGAGGCGTGTTTTTCTGCATAGGTACACACACTACTACTACTTTTGAACAACTCTATCACCCCCGTATAGTTCAGATATGGCCCCCAGTGACTATTACCTACATGGGCATTTGAAAAACGACCTAAGGGGACATCATTTTTTCAGTGCCGAAAACTCTGCAGTTTGAGCACATTTTGGGGAAGTGATTCCATACACCACACTTGATCATGTATTGAAATTTGTCTTGATGATAAAGAAAACGACAGGCTCGAAATCATTGTAGGTATAACCAATGCCGAAGGGGAATATAATTCCAATACCTCTTGTGGAAACCTGAACTATTAGTAGTATCATACTCTCATAAGTATCAGTTTGGGTTTCCTAGGGGTTTCTTTTCCATTTTTGGGAATAAATTTATTACTACGAACATTCGATAAATGTAAAGATCAAATCAAATCTGTATGTTATTTCCAAATTCCATCGCCATCAAAATGTAATTCCATACCTACCTACTTCAACGTATATGATACAATCCAATTTACTAGTGCCCTTGACGTAAAACTATTACAGGATTTTCTAAGAGAAACCTTGTATGTTCGTTACATTCTTGGTCTTCGCATACTTTCTTAAGCAATCGATAGATTTTATTAAATTACCTACCCTTCCAATTAGTGTTACGTCTTGCGTATAAAAATGAAATAGCGCTCCAGATAAAGCGAGTTGCAGTTTAGAGCACCATTCATGGTGGTCGTGTTAATGTGAAGGTACATTCACTTGCAGCTAAACACTAGGAAGAAATCAAGTACGTAGTTGGTGTATATGTTGAGTGTATTACAACTTCGTTTTTTAAAGTTATTCCAATGTCAGTGTTAGGCGAGCCCAGTTATGCTGCCTGGGCGAGCCAGGCGGGTGTTATGGCTGGACGGCAAGGAGGAAACTTATCTGTGGGGGATATGGCACGTCCAGATATGTTACATATGATAGATGCGCATTGGTTTCAATATCCGCCATTAAATCCTCTATGGCACTCCATGTTAGGATTTGCGATTGTGGTTTTAGGCTGCATCTCCGTCACTGGAAATGGAATGGTTATCTACATATTCTCGACAACTAAGTCTTTAAGAAGCCCGTCAAATTTACTGGTAGTAAACCTAGCATTTTCTGACTTTTTAATGATGTTTACGATGGCCCCTCCTATGGTGATAAATTGTTATAACGAAACCTGGGTGTTTGGTGAGACTATTCGCAAGTGTGGATAATAATTAACCGACTCGTATAACGTATAGGTCCCTTGTTTTGTGAGATATATGGCATGTTTGGATCCTTATTTGGGTGTACATCGATTTGGACAATGACCATGATTGCATTCGACAGATACAACGTCATTGTTAAAGGTTTAAGTGCTAAACCGTTGACCAGCAAGGGAGCTTTGTTGCAAATATTTCTCGTGTGGGCATTTTCATTAGGATGGACCTTGGCGCCTCTGTTTGGATGGAATAGGTAATGTATGAACAGTATACCGCACAAGATTTGTAATACGACATTTTGCAAAGATATGTTCCGGAAGGAAACATGGCTGTTTGTGGCACTGACAACCTCACCAAAGGATGGCTTAGCCGAAGCTACATTCTCTTCTACTCTTGGTTCGTGTACTTTTTACCACTATTTGTAATAATTTACTCTTACTGGTTCATAGTGCAGGTAAGGATAGCTTTTTTGTTAACATCAGTACCTACCCGCTCCCATGTTATAGGCAGTCGCTGCGCACGAAGCAGCAATGAGAGAACAAGCCAAAAAAATGAATGTTGCTTCTCTAAGATCTTCAGAAGCTGCACAAACTAGTGCAGAATGTAAACTGGCTAAGGTGGCCCTAATGACGATTTCGTTGTGGTTTATGGCTTGGACTCCATATTTAGTAATCAACTATGCCGGAATATTTGACACCAAAATCAGCCCGATAGGAACGATTTGGTCATCGATTTTCGCCAAAGCTAATGCGGTTTATAATCCTATCGTTTACGGAATCAGGTAAAATTTTCCGTACTGCACAAGTATAAATGTGAAACTCGGACGATATTTCAGCCACCCAAAATATCGACAAGCTTTGCAAAAGAAATTCCCATCCTTGGTATGTACTGCTGAACCAGATGATACCGTTTCCCAAACGACGGCAGCCACTGCGGCATCAGAAGAAAAACCAGCCGCTTAAGGAAATCGAATCATTTATTCATTTATACGGCAAGAAAATGGGCACAGAAATGGCTTCGAAAAAGGATTAGAACTAAAACTTTGAAGAAAACCTTTGTAGATAATTTTTGTTATTGCATTCTAAATATAACCTTGCAGGCTATTCACCCATCCATCCGTCTTTTATTAAGGATCCTCAGATCCTTTATAGTTTTGTATTGTCGTCCGTACGTGTGCGCTCTAACTCTTTTTGAAAGTGGTCGATCGTGTTTAAACAAGGACGGACGCTATTGATTTTCAGGAAGCTGGTTCAACAGGAACAAAAGTTATAGGACTTCGAGTCAATCGGGAACAGGAAAAACCGTGGGCTCAATATAATAGAAATCAACATATTTAATTCCCTAGGTTATGTATCGAGTTTGGACTTTCGCTACATTATTCCTTATTACTCTTAATTAGATGTGTAACAATGCAATATAACTCTTCTCTGTGGTATAGGTCGAAAGTGTTAGAGCAAAATGTAGCCAAAATTATACTTTATACATGAATTTAGAGTTTTAAAATGTTTCAAACGCATTATCTTGATGCTGAAAGAGTACATCACGTGTACATTTGATAAACGCGTGGGTGTGATTCAAAGATGTTAAATTATTTTTCTGAGGCCACATGGATTTTGATCAAAATAAGTCAAAATCGTTATTTATGCACCAAGATCGTTGGGAAAAAGACCAAGAGCATTATCTCAATGACCAAAACATGAATTTGATCTATTTTTGGCGACCACATGAATTTTGACCAAAACATGTCAAAATCGTTTATATTCACCAAAATCGTTGGGGAAAAGACCAAGAGCATTATCTAAATGATCAAAACATGAATTTGATCTATTTTTGGCGACCACATGGATTTTGATCAAAACATGTCAAAATTGTTATTTATGCACCAAGATCATTGGGAACAAGATTAAGAGCATCATCTCAATGCCCAAGACATGAATTTGATGTATTTTGTAAGATTAAAATAAATTATCGTTAAAAGTGATTGTAATATGTACTGAGGATCCTTCGATATTTGGTTGTATCGGTTTATTTTATTTATAGGTACCACGCTGTACCTATGCATGAGAAAAACTGCTTGCGATAATATAACTTAACAACATATATAGGGAACATATGGAAATGTATGTATGGAAATATTGGAAACCGTTCTATGATCGGTTTTGGTTTGGTTCAGAAAAATAATTCGGTTTGGTTGACTTGATCACTTTCGGACCTAACTTTGAAACATCCATATATTATATAGATAGGTCCATCCTTAGTCCAGTTATTCTAGGAAATTTAGAAAAAATAATTCGTGTAGTTCCAATTTTTTGGGGAATGTCCCCTGGTGATTCTGTAATCAAGTATCGAGCGATTTCGGTGTCGCCGAAAGGAGGGGTGGGGGTTGAAGGTACAGTTTTGCAGTTTTTCGGCTATATTTCGAAAATGGTGGGAATGTAGTAAAAAATTCCTTATCGTGATAAGACAGGGCAGGAACCTCCAATCAACAGGACAAAAAAAGGGCGTAAAGCTAAGATAAGTGCTTACTTGCTTACTTACTCACCTACTTACTTAGAATTAAGGCTAAATTTAATTTAAAAGTGAACAAAGGGGAAAAGATAGAATAGAGAGGCGCAAGTCACTGGGAGCTACATTGAATATACCTACCTACTTCGAATCGGGGTGGAACAAATTGACCCTTGGGAAAGGAAATATAAACTTGTCAACCGGAGACATATAAAGAAACTAAAGCCTCAGTTACACGAGAATAGTACCTCGTGCGAGCCACTAAAACCGAGTACTCGCACGAGTAGACCTTCTAGTCTGGTACAATTTACACGGTATTAGTAATTGCTTTCAAGTAGCCAATTCCAGTGGCGTTGATTTTCGTGTAAACTACTCGACTGTCCGTCTTTTTCACTAGAAACACTATGTTACACGAGGGAAGTAATGGAAGATAGTAAAGTAGAGGGGGCAACTCGTTCTACTAAATAGAAACTGTTTCTATTCACTCGACTGGAACACTTGCTGGAACGAGTACTAGAAACCAGTACTGGAATGGTTGTTTACATGATACTTACAGCACTCGGTTTTAGTGGCTCGCACGAGTTACTATTCTCGTGTAACTGAGGCTTAAGCCATAAATTACAATATGTAAGCTCTCAAATTTCGGTCTAATAGGCATGATTGACCAAAAAAAGGAAACCTTATTCTTACCAAATTACAGCGGCTTTTTTTGCGCTTTTTACTTTCGTTAGTACCTTTAGTTTAGAGTCTCCCAGACACAATAGAATATACGGGGCGGTCAAAGATAGACTGAAGGGGCACGTCTCGGTGACTTAACAATTAACTTAACTAAATTATCTCTCCTAGGTATCTCTTTTAGCGATCAATAAACAGCACCCACCACCCAAACCAGGATTAAGACCTTAAAGACAAGTACTCGTAACAGCGATCAAATAGAAGTGCGATCAAAAGAATACATCCTAGAATGCATCAGTATAAATAAGGATGGGGACTGCCTGTTTGGAGCGATTGCGCACCAACTGAGGCGACTGCCAGTGACATCAGAGCCTCACAGGAAATTATAACCAAATGATTAAAAAAGAAATCAACGCATACATCAGGGAAAATGTACTGTTTACTTGTACGTTAAATAATTATTAGTACCTTGTACTTATACTATTTATTCGAAGAAAACCACGACAGTAGACATCATTCTTAGTTCTATTGCCAACCTTACTCTATCGCATACATAACTAAAATATAATAGTTGATACCAACTTAAACATTACATATACCCCCCTCTTAAGTTACAAATACAATAACAAATATAACTATATAACTAAACATCATAAATGATTTTCGGTTTCCTAATCCTTTCGGATCGTCTTAAAGTAATTTCGGTAATTGGTTCTACATTATTATTCTTAACTGTACTTTGAGATGTCAAACTCGGTTCAATATCCTTACTTACAATTGTAGGATCCGTTGAATCGGTTTTGTTCTCTACAATCGGTTTGTCTCTTTGTGTAGTAGCTTCATTACAATGTACAATATTATCTGTATTAACAATGGAATGCTCCTTTTCAATAACTGAATTTTTAACAATTTCCATATCACTATTAGGTTCATAATCTATCATCTGATTGGTGTGTCTTTTCCAAGTTAAGTTATCTTTAGTTTTAACTAAATAAATATCATTTGTAATTTGCTTAGATATGACTGCTTTTACCCATTTCGAATTTATAAAATCCCTGACCATAACATCCTGACCTATTTCCCAGTTTACTTTCCTTTTACCTCCAAAATTCATTTCTTGTTTTTGTTGTTTACTTTCAATTTTATTTCTTAAGTTACTACCTGGTTTAATTTTGTCTAATCTGGTTATCATCTTCCTACCTATTTGTAGCTCAGAAGGACTCAAACCTGTTGTACAATGTGGCGTTGTTCGATAAGCGAACAAATAATTGTGCAATGCTTGTTGTAATGGTAAGTATTTAACTAGTATTTTGATTTTGTTTTTAAACGTACGAACAGCATTCTCCGCCGCTCCGTTACCTTGAGGACAGTATGGTGCTGTAGTCTGATGAACTACACCATTATTACGTAAAAAATTTTGAAATTCTTGTGACATAAAACTGCTACCATTGTCTGTAACTAATTTGTTTGGAATTCCCCACAATGAAAAATATTCACGAAAACATTCTATTGTTTTAGCAGCTGTGATATTACTCATGATTTTGATATCTACCCACTTTGAATATGCATCCGTAATGATTAAAAATTGCTTATTCAAAAAAGGTCCTGCAAAATCCGCATGCAATCTGATATTTGGACCAGTCGGCCACGACCAATTATTAATTTTAGTTTTTGCTGGAAAATCTTTCTCTTCTAAACACGCTTCGCAGCTCTTAACTAGCGTTTCTAAATCATTATCTAGTGAAGGCCACCAAACGTAGCTACGACTCAACATTTTCATTTTTACTAAGCCCATGTGTCCAATATGCAGTTCACCTAATAATTTTGATTGTAAAGCATCAGGAATAACCACTCTGTAACCCCTTAAAATACATCCTTGATCAATATACAGTTCTCGTCTCTTGTTAAAATAAGGATTTAATTCCGGTGACTGTAACTGTGTTGGCCATCCGTTTTCAATATTTTTGTAAACTTGAGCTAATATGATATCTTTTTCCGTAAATTTCCTGATTACTTGATCTGTTAAACAAGGAATGTTATCGGTTACATATGATAAATATGAAGTATCTATTTCATCGACATTACTTAGTTTGCTTGGTAATCTAGATAGCCCATCTGCTACATTATTTTGAATACCTTTCACATATTGTATATCATAGTCATACCCACTTAAAAATAATGCCCATCTTTGAATTCTGTTAGCCGTCATTTCTGGAATGCCTTTAGTCGGCCCAAAAATAATTGTTAAAGGTTTGTGATCAGTACATAGGACAAATTTACGTCCAAATAAATATTGATGAAACTTTCTGACTGCAAATACAATAGCAAGCGCTTCTTTTTCTAATTGAGAATAACGTTTCTCTGTATCTGAAAGTGCTCTAGAAACATATGCTATTGGTCTCTCATCACCATTAGGTAATATATGAGCAATAACACCACCTATACCCACTGGACTGGCGTCTGTGTTTAAATGCAATTCTAATTTCGGATTATAGTGAACTAATATTTGTTCAGATGTCAACAACTCTTTTACTTTGCGAAAAACCCTAACTTGTTCCTCATACCATTCCCACTTTTGATCATGTTTCAATAATTTATATAAAGGTTGTAATAAAGTAGATAAATTAGGTAAAAATTTAGCATAATAATTTACTGTGCCAAGAAATGCTTTCAATTCCTTCACATTTTCAGGTTTTGGTGCCTTTTGTATAGCTTCAATTTTGTCAATGGACATACTAATACCCTCTGAATCTATTTTGTGTCCTAGATATGTAACACTATCTTTGAGAAATGCACACTTATTCTTCTTTAATGTTAACCCTGCATCCTTTAGTTTATTCAATACCTGTTCAAGAGTTTTTAAATGTTCAACTCGATTCTTTCCAGTTATACAAATATCATCGAAGAATATCCCTACATTTTCAATGTTGCCT